CAAGAGTGTCCCACCAGAGTGTCCTACAAGAGTGTCCCACAAGAGTGTCCGACAAGAGTGTCCCACAAGAGTGTCCTACAAGAGTGTCCCACAAGAGTGTCCTACAAGAGTGTTCCGCAAGGGTGTCCCACAAGAGTGTTTTACGAGAGTGTCCCGCAAGACTGTCCCACGAGAGTGTTCCACAAGATTGTCCGACAAGAGTGTCGGATGAGAGTGTCCTACAAGAGTGTCCCACTAGAGTGTCCGACAAGAGTGTTCCGCAAGAGTGCCCCACAAGAGTATCGGACAAGAGTGTCCCACAAGAGTGACAAACAAGAGTGTCCCACAAGAGTGGTCCGCAAGAGTTTCCCACAAGAATGTCCGACAAGAGTGTCCTACAAGGTGCCATACAAGGTGTCCCACAAGAGTGCGCAAGACTGTCCCACAAAGGTTTCTGAATTGAATGCGTCCTACAAAAGTGTCCCAGGAGTGTTTCCTACAAAAGTGTCAAAAATTGTTTGGGTGTGTTTGCATGCGGGTTTGTGGGTTCCATCTTGTTTGTTTACCAAGGGAACATTGGCGTATTGGAGAGTATGAAGACCTTGCTAATCAAGCAGAAAGGTTTCAATCCGTTCAGACTGCATCATGAACTGTCGTATGTATCAGATGTCATGTCGAGTCTTTACAAAGAAGTTCACTCTTCAAAGCATGTTCAAAGCTTGGCCCTCCCACACATCAAGTGTTTTCTTGTTGGTTTTGTTGATGACCTGTTTTTACACGCTCCCATGTCATTGTAACACGTATTTGGTCGGTCTGTGTTGATGACCTGAGTAATGATCTGGTTTTGCAAGATCCGATGTGTTGTTGTAAGAGATGTTTTGCGGTCTGTGTTGACAAGCTCCGATGTCGTAGATGTTTGGTTGGTCTTTGTTGACTGAGTGATGACCTTAGCTAGCTCCGATTCCTGATCTTGGCACCAAAGGCCTGGTGGGCTTCACGCACCCAAAGAAAGGTCTGTAGAAAGGAGCATTTCCAACAGCGCCTTTCAAAAGAATTTTTGAATTCCTCATGTTTGGATCCGAAACGGTTTCTAGGCATTTATTCCATCATTTCCTGGGAATGATCGAAGACTCTCAGTCTTGCAACCCCCTAGATATCTCTCTGCGCGGCTGAAAGTGTGTTTGCTTCCATCTCCTGGGTCCGGCGTTTTGGTACTCAGCACAAAGTACCAAATGAAACTGTTGGAGGAAAACCCATTATGCAAGCAAATTGCCTTAACCTTGCAGTTTGTGTCATAATGTGTGCCGGAACAAATTTATCAAAACGCACGGATCCAGAAATGCTAAAAAGGGCAGCAGGCAGAAGCAACATGACTGATACCATTGCGGTTTTGTGGTAGGCAAGTTAAAGCATGAACCACCCAACTCCTGGATCATGCTTCACTTTGAGCCGGCTAGTTGGCACCCAGAAAATGCCAGAAAATTCTCTTGTGCACACAGGGAAGTGGTTTAAATAAGTAAGGCGAACTGAACGCGCATCATCGTTGTCAGCAGAGATTCAAAAGTC